CCCCTGGCAGTGACAGAGGCTTCTGGGAGCAATTAGCAGAACTGCACTTACAGGCCTCACGGCCCCTGATCTAGTGTGCCAAATGACATCACCAGAGCCTCTTGTGAGCTGATGGTTTTGAGCACTGCTGGCCTGTCCCCTTCGGCTGGACCTAGAGCCACCAGGCAGGCGGTACCGCCACCTCCAGAACCCCTGTATGTTTATTGTAGGGACTCTTCCTGGGTGGGGATGTCCCAACATGCCCATCTCAATTCTCATGTATGCAAAATGGTTACATTTCATGAATTCAATTTCTACTTCCTAGGAACTGGAAAAAAAAATGCTCCCTTTTCAGCAAGAACAGGCCCTGAGAGAGGCCAGTATAGGAAAGGATTCATTTACTCTTTAAACAAACGACTCTTGAGCCTGGAGCAGAAGTCAGGGTCCAGACAAAGAGACACAAGCGAGGCTCTTCTGCGCTGGGAAGCTTAGGGCCTCCTAGGGGAGCCCGGGTGTGTGTGAACTGATTTAATATGAGGTGATGAAGAACAAATGAACCACCTGGTGGGGGGAGGGGCTTAGGGAAGCTCCACAGAAAAGGGATTCTGCACATCCTCCTCTTCAAGCAAGAATAGGATGCGGGGCCTTGGCAGAGGATGGGGGCACACAGAGGTGTGGCCTTGGGTCAGACTTGAAGTGACTTTAGGCCAATGACAGCTGATCCGGCAGGAGCACCCCGCCCCTACCCCCACCCCCAGCAGAGTTGCATACAGGTAGGCAGGCTTGAAATCACTATGAAGTAGAGGACCTTGAATTTCTTTAAAATGTTAAAAATCACGTTTTATTGTGTGTGTGACTGAGCGTGTGCATGTATGAGTATGCCAGAACATTCATACAGAGGTCAGAGAACAACGGGGGGGGTGGTCAGTTCTCTCCTTCCGTGACGTGGGTCTCAGGGGTCTCAGGATGGAAATTCATATGGTCAGCGTTGGCCGAAAGCCTCTTTACTCACTGAGATATCTCATTGGCTGTGATCTTGAACTTCTGATCCCCCTACCTCCAATTCCTGAGTGCTGGAATGCCAGGTTTATGTCGTCATGGTACCAGGAATCAAACCCAGGGCTTTGTACATCCTAGGCATGTACTCTTCCAAAGGGGCTATCACCCAGCCCAGGACCATCTATTCTAACCCCATCTTCAGCAAAGGGTCTGGAACATATTTAGGTCTGACAGATGTTGAAAGGCTGATGGGTGGAAAGAAGCCTGAGTGCTGGCAAGTGAATCAAGTATCAATCTTGCACTTAGCAGAGGCACATTGTGAGTCACCTTTGGCTACGGTGATGCCCAGTTCTACCAGCATCATTTGTTGAAAAGACCATTCTAACTGGTTGAAGGAACTTGTCCCCTTTGTTACAACAAATTTGGCTATAAAGTACTGCAGGTGATGAGCTTAACGCAGCCAGATCTGAGCTATAGAAATATTGATTTGGTGCAGAATCCGGAAGGTCTGACAGGGAGGAGGCTAACGAGGCCAAGGAAAGGGAGTCTGAGGAGAAAAGCAGTCCCCAGATAATCCCAGGCCCGTGGTGGAGTGACTGTGCTCTCGTCTAAGGCAAGGGGGTTAGCCACAATCCTTCCATAGAGCCTGAGGACGGGGAAGGAGGCGGCCACAAAGCAAAAGTCAAGACTGCTGGGCCCCCAAAGGTCCACAGAGAGGTAAAACAAATCCCACCCCAGACATAGTCACTTGCAAAGTAAGTTTTCAGGCAATGAGAGGGTTGTAAAGGCAGGGCAGTGCCAATTACAGCATTATTATCCCGGACTATGAAGCTCCTGAGAGGCCGCTCAGGCTTCCAGGCATGCTGTGCCTGGGAATTTCTAGGGGCCATCTGGGATCCCAGTGTCCAAGCTACCAGGTACAGGCTGCTAGACAAATATAACTCCAGGACCTGCAGTGACCTGCCTCCGTTTCACCAAGGATACAGACCACCAGGAGGTTGACCTACCTCCTCTCCCCTCCCCACCCCTCATCCCCCACTCCCACCCCTCATCCCTCACTCACCCCCCTCCCCGCAACACACGGAGTGGGAGGAGGAAGGGAGGAGGACAGAGGGAAAGAATATAGATATGGACCATCTCTGCAGGGGCTTTGAGTGGGCTTCCCCAGCATCAGGTCCCTTTTTTGTTTCTTTGTTTGTTTTTAAAAGATTTATTTACTATGTACACACTGTTCTGCCTGCAGGTCAAGGGAGGACACCAGGTCTTATTATAGACAGTTGTGAGCCATCATGTGGTTGCTGGGAACTGAACTCAGGACCTCTGGAAGAGCAGTCAGTGCTCTTAACCTCTGAGCCATCTCTCCAGCCCCCAAGGCCCCTTGATAACTCTTTCTTTTCTGTCCCTACCATGATATCACTCCTTGGCCTGACCCATGGAGCCATGCTCACATTTGGAGCCAGCACAGAGTTGCCCTGTTTCTTCTGGGCTTGTCCTGTCAGCTTTTCTCAACAGTAGGTTCTGCTCTGGTAAAACAGAAAAATCAGCCACCCACCCCACCCCTCACCCTCCTACACCCCCCCCACACACACCCGATTTACAGGTCTGTTTTCAGAATTAAATGAGATGTTGCAGATAAAAAGTCCAAAACAAATACAAAAAAAAAAAAAAAAAAAAAAACAGTACAACTTCCATGCCTGCCGGTGTCTGTTGAAACAGTAAACCTTCACACCAGGAGCCCCAGGAATCTCTCTTTATCATTTCCCACAGAGAAGGTCCAGCAGGTGTAGTCCAGGTGGTGGATGGGAGGCTGTTCCCTGCAATACCTTACAGAGAGGTTGAAAAATCGTAAACAGCTGAAGAGACCATTGATAGGGGCCTGATTAAATTAGGACCATCCGTCTGTGAGTCCTCTGCTGTAATTAGAGTCTGGCAGCATCCACACACTGTCTTAGGCAGATTCCCCACGTGGGGCTTTATGAGCAAAGCCAATGTAAACACCTACAGAATGACTGCACACGCTCTTCAGAACCCTCGCACGAACACCCTCTGCTTCATCCATCCAAATATGTAGATGCGGTTAAAAAAACAACACAAACAGCAAGGGAGAAAGGCCTTCCTGATATCCTGGTTGTAATCCCTAGGGAGGGGACTCAGATGGAGGCAGGGAGGTGGCAGGTGCCTCAGAGCAAATTTCACCTTACTGGAGTTGAAATGTTTTACCACATTCTGTGTCTGTGTCACCTGCTTGTATGCAGAGTGGAAATTCAATGCCAAGCACAGAAAGCAGCACTTGGCGGAGTGCTCAATCAAGGCTCGGGGGCCGTAATTATAACCACAGTTCAAGGAGGAGCCCGCAAAGGTTCACAGAGCCTCACTTCAATGACTCCAGAGTCTCAGTTCAGGGATGAAGCCCCTTCAGTGGGCAAATGACATCCCCAGGCATTTAGGAGGGACAGATTGAAGCCATTCAGCTTGGCTGGGCCGAGGCAATGGCCCACCTCTCCCAGAAGAGCTGTGTGCCAAGAAAACTATTGAACTACATAAAAATCCATCCCTGAAGTCCCAGAGGCATCCTTAGGCTAGAACACGGCCTTTAAATTAGATGGAGGAGGGAAAAAAACGGCAGGTTTTGCCTGTAACTTGATTTCAGGTTAGTGAGAGCTAGTAGCCAAAGAACTAAAGCTGTCCCCAGCAGAGACCACCCACTAAAGTCCTGTGATAGTGACTGTGAGGGACACTCTAGCCCCACTAAGAATCACTGATAACAAGCACATGTTCCCATGGAAACTGCTGCACAGACTCCTCTGGAAATTCTTTCTGGGGGTGGGGGCGGCTCCTGTACCCACTTCCTGGGTTTAGGTTCTAGAGGTGATTTTCTTCTGCAAAGGTTGTGGAAAACTGAGGGGGCTGGCAGGGGCCATCACCTTACAGCCGTTTGCCACTCTTGGGAGTGGCTAAAGGTGGGAAGCCTTAGGGAGTCGCCTGAAGTGTTTCTGATGCCCTAAGGCTCTGAAGAGGCTACCAGGTGACTAGACATCAGAGAGTCAGCAGTCTAGGCTAGGAGAGTGGGCGGAAGTCCCTCCAGGCAGGGACGAGGACTAGCTCCACCAGTGAGATGTCACATGCATCAGCCTTCCTTGAGGATCCAAGGCTTCCCTTCACCTTCCTCATTCAGTCGCCGGCTCTCTCAGTTGCCCTCCCTCTGTGCCCCTTCTGGGGGTGCTGCTGGACCCACAACCATCACCCCCTGCGTCACTCACCTTGTACCCACCTCCTATTCCCAATTGGAGAAGCCCCAATGCCTTCTGAGGAGGGTGCTCCCATTTCCTGAGGAGGCCTGTCTCTCTGCAGACACGCCCCAGTGCCCTAGCAATTCAAATCTAGGAAACACACACTCACCGACCCTACCCTTGGCAGGACCCAGGGACCTCCCTATCTGTCTTTACTACAACATCCTGAGTCGTCTGGATTTTTGCGGGGGAAACCCAGGCCCAGGCAGGCAGACAGTGAGTAATCAAGTCTAAGTTGCTTCTAGGAGATGGAACTGGGTCCTAAGGGGGGTCTTGTGGCCACCCAGCCTGCCTCTCCTCACCCTTGCCAGTCACAGCCTGTCCCCAAGGGGTTCACATTCAGGGACTCCTCCTCCTCCTCCTCCTCCGTCACTGACACCTGCACCCCTCATCCTTGCATCAGCTTGTCTCTTCTGGCTCTCAGGCCTGGGTGGGAGCTCAGTCTTCTGTTGACTACTGGAAAACACAAAACATTCCTCCCCACTTTCTCTAATATGGAATATGGACCCCTTAGGCCCCACCCTGAACCCTGAGCCCTCCTTCTCTTCCTCCTCCTCTCTTCCTGCTCCCTCCCTTCCCAGACCTTTTTCTTGATTGACAGAGCCTTTGGGAACCCCTGCCTCCCACCCCAGGCCCATCTTTGCCCCATCCAGATCTCAGCTACCACACCACTCTGGCGATGTCTGTGTCTCCAGGAGGGGCAATGGATTAGTCTTCCTGGGGCTCCTGGGCCACAGTATCGAGCTGAGATTTTATTGCAAGTGAAGTAGAAGCCACAGCAGGCTTTTCATGGGGAAGGGACAGAAACAGAATAGGCTTTGCCAGGTTCCCTTAGCTGCTTTATAGGTAAGGGACAGTGAAGACTGCTGGAAGACCTGGCTGCTGAGCCCTGAGCCAGGGCACCCCAAGAAGTCAACCAGGCTTCTTCACTCTCCTGAAAGGGCTGAAAACACCTGCGTCCCAGTCAGAGAGTCCAGAGACTGGCCGTAGAGCTTCAGAAGTGGGGAGCACAGCAGCCAAGTGTTTGCTGGCTGAAGTTCCCACCCCAGCGCTGGCCTTCGCCTGCAGGAATCAGGAGCCTGGAGGCCACTCGGTGCCAGGCAGTTTCCCTTCTTCACAGACCGGGAATCAATTAAGCCAGCCTTGAGGAGCACAGACCTTCATTCAGCCTAGCAGTCCATGAGGAGCTTTGCTTGTTCGCAGAGTTAGGGCCTAGGCAGAACCAGGCTTGCTGGCCATCCACTGGGCCCAGAGAAGGCTGGCTGAGCAGGTAGCATGGTTCAGCTGCCAGACACAGGCCTGGCAGGGGTCCCACCGTGTTCTCCTAGGGGCAGGTCTGCCTGTGAACCAAGATGCAGGCTGGGGCCAAGGGAGCCAGGTACGCAGCTCTGCAGAGCATGGCAGTTAGAGGTGGAGAGGTAAAGAGCTGGTGTCCACGAGAGCCCGGTGGGACTGAGGAGCACTTTGTCCACAGGGCCAGGGGAAGAATGGCGCTCTTGGAGGGAACAGACTGAGCAAAAGCCCAGAGATGTGAACTATAGGCTGGCATGCAGATCAGGAGAGCAGACCAGGCCAAGGCAGGAAGAGCAATGTGCAGGTGAGGTGATGACGTGTCCAGCAGGCCCTACTCCCGGCCCAGATCAGGTCCTCGGACAACAGAAGTGGCTCTGGGGTCCTAATCCAAGACAAGGCTTGGAGCCTATAAAAAACTTTTCCTAGAGATTTTCATAGACGAGGTTAAATTCATTGTCTTCCTCAAACCTATTTAGTTTGTCCTGGGAGAGAGAAGAGACGGAGGGGGGAGAAAGGAGAGAGAGAAATATTAGGTAGGAAAAGACAAATTTGAACCAATGTTTATTTGTTTATTGCATTAATCTCACTGTGTAGCCCAGGCTGGCCTTGAATTCCTTGCAATCTTTCTGCTCAGCCTCCTAAGTACTGGAGTGATAGGCGTGAACTACCATGCCTGGCTATGAATTTGCACAAATTTAGTTTTGGTTGGGGGCATGCAGATAGCTTACTGAGTCACTTTGATAGGAAACATGACCTCTGTCCCCAAGCTCACTTCTTCTCCTGCCAGGCCTTTCTATAACTGCCCTCCACCCTCTAGACACACCAGCCTCCCCAGCCACCACACAGACACCCAGTCCCTAACGACTAGAATTCACCCACCCAACAGGTGCATCCTAAGAGTACCAGGGAGCCCTCCACAGGACCTGTCCCTCCACACAGGGCTACCAATATCTCTGCATGCCTTTGGGGCCAGTAGTTTATTCCTTCAGTTTAGGCTTCTAGAAGGCAAGAGTAACTCACTTTCCTGCCTTGACCAGAGCTTGACCTCTGTATAGACATTGACTGAGATTTCATCAGTGGTCCAGGATGGGAGTCCCTGTTTCCAGTTAGAGCCTAGTTCATGGTTTTGAAACCTAGAGATTCAATGAACAGGTCTAGCCTGGGCTGAGGGAGGCAAAGTCCCAATTCCAGTACTACCTGAGGCTTCTCCAACGTTCTGAGGGAACCTCACAGGTCCCCCACACCAGCTGGCTTGACCACACTGCTGCTTTGCAGAGTTCACAGCTCAGGGGCTTGTGTTACTCTTTTGAATTCTGGCAAAGCTGGCAGCTCAGGTCAATATTACTCATCCACTTTACAGATGAGTACACTGAGGTTTAAGAGAGAAAGAGTGACGAAGTAGTGAGTTCAAGGCCCTGTTAAAATAGCAGTCTTGAGTAGGCCAGCCAGAGCTGGCACTAACACTCATCCAGCTCAGACTATACCAGCACACATACCTGGGGCCATCTGGAAGCCTTATGCTCTCAGCACAGTGAGCAATCCTCAAAGAAAGTCTGGGAGGTGAGGATCATTCTGGATCCTCTGATTACAGACCAGGAGACTCAAGCACCTAGAGGTAAGTCCCTCCTCCAAGTACCTACCCCAAGGCTACAGGGCTGCTGAGGGATCAACCAAGTTCAAAGCTACCAGTCCTCCCAGCCACTAGACCAGCTTGTTGGGAAGGGCATCCAACTGCAGGTGAACCAGCTCTGTGGTCTATTAAATTCACACGGCATAGATGAGGGAAGGGTCAGAAAAAAGAAAGAGAGTAGGCTCCATGTCCCCAGGCCCGGGTATACCTTGGAGGAAGGACTTTGGCTAGAGATAGAGCTGCCAGTCTCTGCCTCGATGCAGTCATAGATCTCTGTCTCTCGACGCTGCAGGTCCTGCAGGAAAGAGGGCACCAGCGTCAATGGCATCATGTACATAGAAGTGCAGTCCCTGGGTTCCTGGATCAATACTTCCTGCCTGTTGTTAACCTGATGTGCTGTGGGAGCCCAGGGAAGGGCAGAACCCCTGGGTTGTCCCCATTAAAACTGCCAGTTTTGGCTGGGCGTTGGTGGCTCACGCCTTTAATCCCAGCACTCGGGAGGCAGATGTAGGCGAATTTCTGTGAATTCGAGGTCAGCCTGATCTACAAGCGAGTTCCAGGACAACCCCCAAAGCAATACAGAGAAAAGAGAAACCCTGTCTCGAAAGAAAAAAAAAAACTGCCAGTTTCTGAGCCAACTGTGCTGATTATACAGGATCAACTCTGTCTGTAACTTACTGCTTCTCTCTAGGACCACCAGGAAAGCCCAGCACCAAACTCTATCCAGACTTCCACCTGACTGGTGGAAGGACACACTGTCTCCCACCCTGCCTGCCAGTCCTCAAGTCCTTGCGGCCTCAGCAGCTACAAGCCCCCTGCATGACACCCAGAACCCCTGCTAACTTCTGCCTTCATTCCCTGGCTCAGAGACTGCCTGCGAGGGAATCCCATCTACCCATCCACCTTCTAGGTCTCTTCTTACTCACTATATCCAGATGACCGGGCACCCAGCGGGGTGTTACTCCTCATCTATCAGGCCTTACGCCTTGCTGGAGGATCCCAGAGTCCAACTCCAGAGCTCAGTGTATGCCTCTCTCTCTCCCTAGCCTATCATTATCCCTCCAGCCACCTTTTTCTAGCCATCTAGGCTAGAGTCATTCACCAAATATGCACCCTTGGAAACACATGCTCCCACTCCCCCCTCTGACCATAGCCCTGCAGATCCATGACTCCTCCAGAGAGCTTTCTTGGAACTGGGAAGCTGGGACCCAATCTCTGTGGCTCTCTTAGATCACATCCACGGCACATCTGCATCCTTCCGTAGACTGGGAACCTCTTGGGGACAGGGATCACGCCTGGTTTGCCTGTGGACTCCTGATGAGCATGCCACCACATGAGTGAGCTAGCATCTCGTCTCCCCTACTAGGTGTGTGGCGCTAGTCCACTCTGAAGAGTCTTTAGCGATCAGACCACAGACTCCAAGAGGGTCAGAAGAATCAGGCTTTGAAGTCAGACAAGACCAGGGTCAATTCTTGCCTCTGGTATCTGCTGCCACAGGCAGCTTCTTTGTTGCTCTGTGCCTCAGTTACCTCATCTATAAAATGGAAATTATCACGTCGCGTGAGTAAATAAGAGATTGCACATAAAGAGTCTTGCACAAAGCAAAGTCAGGCAAACAGTCGGTGCTTAGCACACAGTTGTTTGATGACCATCCGGGAAGGCACAGCACTCCCCTTCTCTGCCGCCCCAGCTGGGGTGTTCCGAGCACTAGAACAGAGCTTGCAAAAGCCCAAGCAAGAGGCCTTCCCTTCCCCAGTGCACTTGTCATATGGATGCCGGCTTGTTGCCAAGGAGGCGGTTTCCCTGGCAACAGTCAAGCAGGGGTTGGTGAGGCAGGCTGGAGAGACAGGTGGTGCTCAGAGGCAGGAGGAGGAGGGTTTGAGAAGGAAAGAAAGTGCCCAGAGGTAGCCACGCATGAAAACCTCTGTAATAAACCATTTGGCGCTTTGGAGACCCTAACTTCAAGGGCATCAGATACAGGGGTGGTGAGGCCGTCCGGAGAACTGTCTCTGAGCCGGACAGAGGGTGGGGCCTGGGAGACGATTTTTCCAACCTGCCTCATTTCCAAGGGAAGAGAACTTCCAAGGCCTGTTCTGACCCCCATGGGTCTCTGTGCCTGACCGGAGAACTGGCCTCCTCCCAATACACAGGGCAGGACATGTTGCCCAGTCACACTGCGACACCTTGGACCCTTTCCAGACCTGACAGACACAGGGACCGCAGGTGGTTCCCTCTCTCTCATGTCTCCACTCTTCTGGGCTGCCATAGCAGGTACAAACCCAGAGAAGCCAGGGACTATTACAGCCAGGGAAGGGCACCCTGTTTCTGGCTGCAAAAAGCAAGGGTGGCCATCACTCAGCTGCTGTGGAGTGGAGTCTTTGACAGTCCTGACCTGCTGGCTATATTTGCATTCAGGGTATGACCTGCTGTTCAGGCTGTGAAATGCAGGGTAGAGCCTTGTCAGCAGGACAGTTCTGATCTTCACATCCAGTCCTGTCTTCCTGGCCTCCCTCAACTCTGCACAGCAAAGGCTACACTGGATTAGCCTGGGCTCTGCCAGACTGTCTCCAGGCTAGGCTCTGCTGAGCTCTGTTCCAAGGCAGTCACTTGCCTGACTCAGGTCCTATAGGCCCTTTTACCTCCTGCTGCCCAGTGGGTAGTTACAAATACTCATTAGCCTGGTGGAAGAATTAAGGCCAGCCTCCATGCTGGTTTAGGGCAGTGCAGAGCAAGCAGTCTCAGCCTGTGCCTCCTCTGAGAGTACTGGACATTGAGGTCATGAGCTAGCTCTGAGAATACAGTTTAGAAAGGAGCCGTACAGCCGGGCACCCCAGCTCTGGGTCAGGTGTCACTAATCCACCCCGGGGAAAGATCTCCCAATACTGAATCTGAGTGTTAGCAAAGTCAGATAAGAGTGCTGACTGCTATTTCAGAGGACCTGGGTTCAATTCTCCATACCAACATAGCAGCTCACAACTGTCTGTAACCCCAGTTCCAGGGGATCTGGCACCGAGACATACATGTAGGCAAAACACCAATGTACATAAAAATAAATAGATCTTTTAAAAAAGTTACTTCAGAGCTGGGCGTTGGTGGCGCACGCCTTTAATCCCAGCACTCTGGAGGCAGAGGCAGGCGGATCTCTGTGAGTTCGATGCCAGCCTGGTCTACAGAGAGAGTTTCAGGACAGCCTCCAAAACGATACAGAGAAACCCTGTCTCAGAAAAAAAAAAGTTACTTCAGAGAGGACAAGAGTAAGGCCCTGGAGGGGGCACTGGCAGACAGCAGAGGTGGGGTGGGGTGGGTCTGTAAAGGCTGCTGATGGCCCATTTGCTATAGACATCCCCTCTACTCTGCATCAGGTCTCATAGTGTAAGATGCTCTGGGAGACCAGAGCAGACTTCAGGGCACCAGCCCTGAGCTTGTGCAGGATGAGGAGGGGGCTTGAGGGTGACTGTGACCATCAAAGGAAGAGCTGGGCATGAAGACTTTGGAGAGACACAGAGGGGAGCCAGGGGAGGCTGTTGTGTGTATTATATTATATTATATTATTTTAGAAAGGGCCATCTGAGGACAATGTTGGTATAGGAAGGACTTCTTGGACAGGTAGACAGTGACAGCTTGGAGGTTATAAACAGGGCTCTGAACTTGACCTAGGGTGGAATGGCAACTTCTAAAGGATTGTGGTGGTTTAAAGAATTGCTTCTGTAGGCATAGTCATGTATACTTTTAATCCTAGCACTTGGGAGACAGAGGCAAGTAAATCTCTGTGAGTTCAAGACCGGCCTGTTCTACATAGTGAGGTCCAGGCCAGCCAAGTGAGACTGTCTCAAAACAAAATGAAACAAACAAAAAACCCCACATTGCTTCACTACCTCCACCTGCAAGAATAGGAAGGGAGTCTGGCCTGAGTGGCTGAGAAAAGCCAGCATTTCCCCCAGGATGAGGATGTTAGGAGGAGGAACACACAGTGACTGCAGATTTGGAGTTTGGCTGGGAATTGCAAATGAGACATCTCCATAGAGCTGGGTCCAAGGCTCAGAGCTGTATGAGACATAAGCTTGGGCTGGTCCAGCCGTGGATGTGCTCAGAACCCTTCCCAATGAGATCACTCAGGGGTGGGAAATAATAAAAGAGGACAGGGGTCCCAGGGCTAAACCCCAATGTCTACACCAGTGTTTGGAGGTTAGAGTTCCAGTTCCCCCGGAGGAATCAGTGAGTGGGGGCTGAGGAGGTGTGTCGGTGAATCAGGGAAGGACCAAGGAACAATGAAATGTTCTAGACTCTAGGAGGAGAGAGCACTCATCGCTGTCAGAAGCTGCCGAGTCATCGAGGGACCAGAGGTCCCAGAACTGCCTGCCACCACAGTGACTGCGGAGAAGAGCTCTGGTGAAGGGTGGCATCAGGACTAGTCAGCCAGAAAGGAGCTCGGAGGGCTGGGAGACGCCCTTGCCACACAAGTGTACAGACCTGGGTTCAAATCTCCAGAATTCATATGAAACCAGATGCAAGTAGTGCCTGTCTGCTATCCCGCTACTCCTACAGTAAGAGGGGAGGCAGAGACCCGAGAAACCCTGGAAACTCACAGGCCAGCTAGCCTGGAGTATGCAGCAGTAACACAAAGAGACCCTGTCTCAACTAAGGTAGAAAGCGAGACCAATGTCCCAGGTTGTCCTCTGACTTCCACACCCATGCTGGACACATGTGTTTGTTTGTTTTGTTTTTTGAGACAGGGTTTCTCTGTAACTATGGAGACTGTCCTGGAACTCTGTAGACCAGGCTGACCTTGAACAAAGATCCGCCTGCCTCTGCCTCCAGGGTGTTGGGATTAAAGGCGTGGGCCACTACCGTCCAGCTATTGACACTTCAACACATTTAAATCCACACTCACGTATACAGATAGTATGCACACACAAGCATACACAGATTTTTTGTTTTGTTTTTCGAGACAGGGTTTCTCTGTATTGGTTTGGAGGCTGTCCTGGAACTAGCTCTGTAGACCAGGCTGGCCTCGAACTCACAGATATCTGCCTGCCTTCCGAGTGCTGGGATTAAAGGCGTGAGCCACCAACGCCCGGCCAGATTTTTTTTTAAATGTCAAATTAAAAAAATCCAGAAAAGGCACTGTGGGCGTTCTGTCATCTGTGGAGAAGGGAGGGCAGCTGAGGGGACACAGTTCAAGAAGAGGATTTTAAGACAGAAGGAATCATAATGTGCTGGGAGCTGCAAAGGCAATGCAGGTTGACTCACCCTGCATTAATCATCACAGGGCCAAGCCTCAGAAGGTTTAAGTAGTAGAATCAGCAAGTTCCAGATCAGCCTGGGTTAACACAATGAGGCCCTGTCAAAGGCAATACAAGCACGAGGCTTTGCTTCCCTGGGGCTGGCCCATCTAAAAACTTCAATAGGTCAGGTTTCTAAACACAAGCGGGGGGTGGTGGTGGTGGTGGTGGTGGTGGTGGTTGTGGTGGTGGTGGTACAGTTTTCTTGCTAACTCCCGAATGTTTTTCCATGTGAAAGAAAGCACAGGGGCTGGAGAGGTGGCTCAGAGGTTAGGAGCACTGACTGCTCTTCCAGGGGTCCTGAGTTCAATTCCCAGTAACCACATGGTGGCTCACAACCATCTACAATTCAATCTGGTGTCCTCTTCTGGCATGTAGGCAGAACACTGTATATGTAATAAATAAATAAATCTTTAAAAAAAAAGCACAGCTGATACAATTAAAAGGAGAAATATGTAAACCCACCATCACACTGGCAGATACTTAACAACTGATAAGACAGACAAAGAAAAACAATAGGGATCAATAAGGATGTGGGATATTTTAGCAATGTGATCAGCAAATGTGCGGTCACTGACTTATAAAGAACACTCTCGCCATGAATGAAGTGCGGTTGGTTCCCAAGTGTGCGCAGAGCACTAGGTGAGACGTAGAGCAAGACTCTGGGGCTCAGAGTGTAAAAGTCAGAATACACGTACACACAAATGATGCATTTAGTCAGAGATAAAGAACAGTACAGCTGGACACTGGAGGCGCACTCCTTTAGTCCCTGCACTCTGTGAGTTTGAAGCCAGCCTGGTCTACAGAGGGAGTTCCAGGACAACTAGGGCTGTTACAGAGAGAAACCCTGACTCAAAAAGCAAGCAAACAAACAAAAGAACACTGAAAGGGGCTGGGGAGATGGCTCAGCAGTTGAAAGCACTGACTGTTCTTCCAGAGGCCTGGGTTCAATCCCGGCACCCGCATGGCAGCTCACAACTGTCTGTAACTTCAGTTTCAGGGGGTTCTGATGGCCTCTTCTGACTTCCTTGGACACCAAACACACCAGGGGTACACAGACATACATGTAGGCAAAAAACACATACATATATTAAAATCAAATAAATCTTTTAAAAAATCTGTGCAGCTCAAAGTTTTTAAAGTACAGTTGGACAATGAAACTCAAGCTTGTAATTCCACTACCCTGGAGATGGAACAAAGAGGATTAGGAATTCAAAGTTAGCCTGGCCTATGGGTGTAAAAACAAAAACCTCAAAATAAAAGCTGTCTAACGGCTGAGGCTACTGCTCAGTGGTATAGCACTTACCCCTTGCCTAATACGTACATTATTAGGCATATGTATTTCATTCCCAGAAGAGAGCGAAAGAGAGTGGGGAGGGCGGGGGAGGGAGAGATTGATTGGGAGAAAAAGAGATTGATTTTCACATCGCAGCTGACACCATAATCTCTCATAGTGTTGAGCTGCTGGGAAGGGAGAGGGAATTTGGGGGAATCTGGGGCGGCATACGCCGCAACAGCTGGTGGAAAGTCCCTGGAGAGGAGAAACTGAGGACCCTCTGAGAACTGTCCTGTTCTTAGAACTGTCAGCACCGCCCCCTCGGGAACATTCCTTGGCCTCTTTGCCACCTGCCCCACCCTCAACAAACAGCCTAATTTGGATCAAGCTCCACGTGGGGTTTTATGACCAGGTCTCATGTGTGCATCAACTAGGTTCTAGGGACAGGAGGAGTAGCAAACACCTTCAAAATACGTCCTTGGCTACCCAGCCAGCCAGCTGTGGGGTCAGCAGCAGCACCTGCTGGCTCTGGCTGACACTGGTGGTAAATCTCTTACTTTCTCTACACTACTCACAGAGCTGTAAGCAACACAAGTCCCAGGGAGAAGCCCTTGTCCACATGGCCAGGCGGGCCCAGCCTCCTCAGGCCCTTCCCTTGTAACCGTGGAAACTGGAGTCGGCGAATGGGGGGGGGGACCCGTGACACAACAGGGCCCGTGACACGTGGAGCCCCACGTGGAGTCTTGCTGTGACCGAAGGGGTGAATGAGGAAGAGTGAGTGAAGGAGCAAAAACCCTTGATGTGTCAAGGGTGTGCAGTGGCGCCGGGCCCTTTCCTCTTTTTGTGACTTTGGCTGTTGCTCCTTCCAGTGCTGTTTGTGCAATAGAAATAGGAAAAAGTTTGCAAGCCGGGTTGGGGGATAATCTGGTCAGCTGAAGGAAGTTTCTTCATCCTTGCCAACTTTTGCTCTCACCGCCTCATGCTCCACACACGGCTTCTCCTCTCATCTTTGTAGAAATGTCAAATTTGTACAACTACTGAAACCGTTTTATAGATTAGAAAACTGAGGCACAGAAATACACCTCCCCACAGACACACACACACACACACACACACACACACACACACACACACACACACGGCTAGTCAGGGGGCAAGCCTCAGAGAGGCGGAAGGGCTCTGAGACTCACTGTGTAGACGGGTTCTGCTGGAGGCTTGGTGGCTCTGCTGGTGGATTTGGAACCAAGGCATGTCCTGGTGATGTGCTTGCCCAGAACTGACATCTGTTTCTGTGGGGAGAAGGAAGCCAGGGCTGTGGAGGCTGAGGAGAAGTGGCTGTCCCATCACCCTCCCCTTACAGACCCCACGGGGGGAGGGGTGTGGGATACTGCTGATTGTCATGAGGCCACACAAAAATTAATCACTCGACACTTTCTGCTCGCCCTCTCCAGGGAGAGGTGCCTGAAGCTAAAGGAAATGCAGAGACCCACATGAGGCATTGTCATAGGCAGAGCGTCTGACTCTGGAGAGACAGACAGCTCCTGATCTGGAAGCCAAATTATGGGTGGGCCCCAAGTGGATGCCAGCCAGCCCCTCACTGACTGTGGCCTGAAAGAAGATGTTTTCTCTCTAGCTTCAATGTCTTCAGCAATAGCAGCCCTTGGCAAGACGATTCCAAGGATTCAAAGAGGGGACTTGAGGGAGGCACTTGGTGGCGCTCGGTCAGCCACCCCACATTTGCTGAACACCTCAGCGGGGCAATGTGAAAGGGTGGACACATTCCTGCCCTCCTGAACTTAAGGTTTGTGGGAGAGATGGGCAGTACGTAGCGGTTTCACCGCAGCACAGCTTCCTGTGCGTGGGGACCGATAACTCGGGAAGGGGAGAGGAGGGGAGGAGCGTGAGGACCGTAGTGCCTTCAGCACGAATGGAGGTGAGGGCTGCAGGCGGATTCAGGCAGAAGCACAGCAGGCAGACGGGCGTGTACCAGACCTGCAGGCCTGAGGACCTCATGGAGAGGTCAGCCTGAGGTTAACTACCCTGACGGGCAGGATGACAGGCAGGGCAGTGAGGATGGCAGGGAGCATCAAGGGCTCCAGGTGAGATGCCAAGACCAAGCCAGCTTTGGAAAACTCCCAAAGGCTAAAGCAAATAGCAAGTGGAGTCGGGGAACACCGGCTCACCCTCCTGGAAAAGCACAGGGCCCGGGCGACAGTCAGGGGGAGGCGGCTTGGACGCCCCCCTCATCACAGGCACCACACTGCCAACAGTGGAGCAACAACGGCCTCATCTCAGGGCAGGAGCTAATTAAAAACCCTGGCCACCTGCCAATCCCCAGCCCATTTACTCCCGGATTAGCACTCAAGAGCTACTTAACTCACAGGCAGAAGCCCCAGTCTCACCGCCGTACAGCTGAACATGGAGCCAGGCCGGAGGCATGACCTGTTGCTTGGGCTCCTCAGCTAACCCTGCAGGCGAGTTCGCAGCTCGTCTCTGCTCTGTACATGGGGAGGCAAGGTCTCCCAGAGGGCAGGGGGTTGTGAGACCGCACGCCCAGTAAGTGACAGGGGCAGGATTGGAACCTATGTCTGAGTTTGCTAAGATGCTAACCCAGTGCTGTCTAGAGTGTTGGCATCTGTTTGTGGGCATTTGTAGGTCTCATACAGACAGGGGCTGCCTGCCATCTGTGTGCTGTTTATAATTCAGAAATACCCTGTCCTCTTACTGCATTCTCTCAACGGCCTGAGGGAGTGAGCATGGACTCACCACCGCACTTAGAGGGAAAGTGAGTCCTGTCACGACAGTGAATGGCTGCTCAGAGAGGAAATACAGATATGGCACCTCCCTGCACTGTCTATTCCGAGGGACACTGCCACAGTTAGGCCCCGGGGCACACTCGGGGCGCACTGTCACACTCTGCCTTGTCAAGACAGCTGGGGTCATGGCCCCTCACCTTCTGAGCCTGCTTATCCAAACGCTATCCAAGCTAAAGGACAGGCCCTCCCAGGCGGTGGCTGTTTGGGGGCTGCCTGGATAAGCTCTTTGGACCCAAGGCTGGATGACACAGGTCTTGAGCAACGGTACCAACCCTCTTTCATGTTGGGCCTGACTGGGCACCGGAGATCCTGTGGCCTATTTATTGTGCTTGCCACAGAGAGCTCAAGGAGGTGAGTTACACTGCTGGCCTCAGGAAAAAGCCCAAATCCACTGGAGGTTACAGATTGCTGCGGGGGTCGGGGGCATGCAGAGAAGGAGAGGGGAGGCGGAGGAGGGGGGAGCAAGAGAGATGGGAGGGAAGAGAAAGGAAGGGGCAATGGGCAATGCCAAGGCCACAGAATACTAGATGATACCAGTGCCTTTACTGGGAGGTGTGGTGGAGAGCAGTGGAAGCCTCGGGAGTTGGAAGTGGTCAGATTTGCTCTCGTCCACCTCCATATGTGGCCTCAGACGCAGGTTCAAGGTGGACTGGAGCTTGGGGGTAATGGGGAGGATGTCAGGCTCTTCTAGCCCTGTCCAGCCGGCCAGGAGGCCCAGGCTGAAGTGGGAATCCTATGGAAACAGAGAGGGAGCACTCTGGAAAACTTGGTTGGGTTATATTTAGCTGTGGAGGTTGTAGATGCTCTGTCCCTTGGGTCAGGACCCTGACCCAAGCAGCCAGAACTTGTCCTTTGAGGTTGTGATTATTAGATGAATAAGTCAGCCAGTGTGGCTTCTCCCATAGTACTCAACCCTCTGTTGCCCATGTTTCCTCTCCTCAGTAGGCCGTAGTGAGGGTCAGCAGGCCTGAGCTGAGACCTAACTCCTTGTACACTGCCAGAAGCTGTAACAGAGCCTGTTACACCTCAGTTTCCCCAACTTTGAAATGGGAGCAATAATGTCACCTTGCCCTCCTTGTGCCCTAGACCACATCTACTCATTTTTCAGAAGTCAGCATGCCCATAATTCCTTCTACCAGAGCCTACTATGTGCCAGGCTCGGGCAGGCACCAGGGATATCGAGTCCCTGTCCTGTATGGGCTTCCCTCCGGCAGGGAGACAACAGAAATTCGGAAGCCAGGGATCAGATAGTAGAGAGGGGAGGTAAGTGAGGCACCTGAGGAGGAGGAGCATGGACCTAGCCAGTGCCAGGGAGAGGGACCAGACCTGGACAGGCTGACTGGATGTGGGAGCAAGTAGACAGGCCACACACAGCTCCAGGGTTTAATTGTGAGCCCCCAGACCCTGCAGAGTGTCCTTTGGGTGATGTGAAGTGGAGATGCCCTATGCCCCATACATGTGACTCACCATGTTCACCATACCAAGGTCTGGAGCTCGGGGAGGGGCCTGGTAGCTCACCAATGGATGCACACATAAGCCCTAGGACACATCGGTCACCCAGGTGCACAGAAGGGTTCTGAGAAAGGGCTGTCCACACACACACACACACACACACACACACACACACACACACACACTGGGATGTCTTACACACACACACTGGGATGTCTTACACACACACACTGGGATGTCTTACACACACACACTGGGATGTCTTACACACACAGGCTGTCTCTCACACACACACACACACCGGGATGTCTTACACACACACTGGGCTGTCTTACACACATACTGGGCTGTCTTACACACACGCACACTGGCTGTCTTACACACACACACTGGCTGTCTTACACACACACATACTGGGCTGTCTTACACACACTGGCTGTCTTACACACACACACTGGCTGTCTTACACACACACACTGGCTGTCTTACACACACACATACTGGGCTGTCTTACACACACTGGCTGTCTTACACACACTGGCTGTCTTACACACACACACTGGCTGTCTTACACACACACTGGCTGTCTTACACACACACACTGGGCTGTCTTACACACACACTGGCTGTCTTACACACACACACTGGCTGTCTTACACACACACACTGGCTGTCTTACACACACATACTGGGCTGTCTTACACACACTGGCTGTCTTACACATACACACACTGGGCTGTCTTACACATACACACACACACTGGGCTGTCTTACACATACACACACACACTGGCTGTCTTACACACACACACTGGGCTGTCTTACACACACTGGCTGTCTTACACACACACACTGGGCTGTCTTACACACACTGGCTGTCTTACACACACACACACTGGGCTGTCTTACACACACACACACACACTGGCTGTCTTATACACACACACACACACACACACACTGGGCTGTCTTATACACACACACACACACACACACACACACACACTGTAGCCAGGTGTAGTCATCACACCTGCTCCCATGGCAGAGTCATATGACCATCATCTCAGGAGAGTGGGCTGTCCTGGTGCTCAAAATAACTCAGGTCTTCATTGGTGCCTCCCACCCCTAGCCTCCTGTCCACAGCCAGGACTCTTGAAATCTTCACTGGGGGGACCTCACTTGAGGCAGGGAGGAACTGACTACCCCGTCCAAACTCACAGAGCTGGTACGGGGTGGAATTGGAGTACAAACATAGCCCTGATTTGTGCTCCCAAGCCCCTTCCCCAGCCGCCGCTGACTGCCAAGCAGGCTGTCTTGAGATTTTAGCCTTTGTGTTCCCTCTGGGTTCCTAATCTCTGATATAACATCTGGTGCGTAGTAGGTACTCGGCTAAGATCCACTTAAGAAATGCATCCTCGTATTTACTAATAACTATGGAAGGACTCTGCAAATTATAATCCTTTTAGCAGACATTTACTGAGGCGGAGTACCTACTAAGTGCAGAGTCCTATGCCACAGGCCGAGGCAGGGGACAGGCATGGAGCAAAAGACCACTGCAAGAAGGTAAGAATGAGGCGTGCCCCAGTGGGGAGTCAGGTCTCCTAGGGAGTCAGCAGGAACAGAGCACAGGCAGGCCAAGAGCTGGAGCAAACTGGCCCCTCCACTACGCTCCAGCCCTTACCCGTCATGTCCTTACTGTATGACCCTGGCATATCACAGCTTCTCTGAACCTCACTCCCTGGGACTGGGAGATGGGAGGAAATGTCCTCACAGAGCTACGCGAGGGGGCACATGAGATGTGTGTGGGTGGGCCAGGCACAGAACATCTTTTAGGTTCCATTTCCCTGGACATGGCTGGCTATGAGAGGGAAGGGGCTCTGTGTGGGAACCTCAGGGGACCCTGCATCTTCTGCCGATTCTTAGAGGGATGAGTAACCTGGGACAGTCTAAAGAGACCCTATTTCTTTCAATTTGGTCAAAGTGAGCATCCTCCTCAGGGCCTGGGATGCCCTATGGGGCAGGGCCAGCCCCTCTGGTCCCAGAAGCCTCCCCAGCCCATGGTGTAGATGGAGGGCGCAGGACTCAGCATGATGGATGATGTGTCCACTTGGTCCTCACCTTCTTCCAAAGCAGGAGAGCTGTGCCCAGCACACTCAGGATACACAGCAGGCTGGTAAAGCCAAACAGTAGGCCCTCCTGGAGCTTGAACGAAGGTGGCTGGTATGCTGTGTCTGGGTGAGAGGGAGGAGAGCAGGGAGCAGAGAGTGAGTTTCCCAGGGGAATTCAAGGCCCACCTGGCCCACCCACCCCTAAGCCCAAAGTCTCACATCTTCCTCCACCCATTTCTAACTCGCAACAACTCGCGACCTTGTCAGGGCCCCTGAGACCCTTGGGGCCTTTGCTTTGTCCCTGTGTATGTTGACTGCCACGGTACTCTAGGCATGGACCGGGTCATGTGCTCCTTTAGTGGCCCTGATTCAGTGAGCTCGTGCCACTACCTAGGGCATCCTGGTGAATCATACCATCTTTGGTGGCCTCTTTCCCTGTATCTGAAAGAATAGCAATTTGAGTGAGTGCTGTGAGGGCTGAGGGACCACAGGCTCACACTGGGACTGACAAGGCTATCACAACAGGGGTAGACAAGGGCAGGTTTGCCCTCATCGTGAGCCCTCCCTCCTCCCTCCTTCCCTGCCTCCATCTGGCTGGCAGAAACTTACATAGGACGACCCACTTCTGGGCCCATAATAGTTACTTAGCAAGTGCCCAGGCAGCAGCCCTCATAGGCCATCCTGAGAAAGAAACATCACTGAAGTCTTTGATGGGCAGTGTACTGTCAAGAAGGTCAGACCCAAGGTCATATCCGGGCAAGCAGTAAGACAGGACGTCCCCAGCCCCTTCCAGTGGGACTCACAGAAGTGCACAGGGAAAGAACCATGACTTTGACCATGGTTTGCTCTTAACTTTGGGGGGAGGTCCTCATACCATTGAGAATGATAACTAGGAATTACTTCCAGAATGGTGTAAAGCAAATGCTCACTCTAGCAAGATGCCCACAGGTCCATGTGTGTACAAGCCTAACCCCACACTGCCCTGCACTGATAATGGGATTTTGGCACCAATGGGCTGAGTGACCTCTCTCAAGTCGCTTGTCCAAGGTGGCTAGAGACAGATCCTTTCTCTTTTCCACATAAAGGTGGGTGCCTGGCATACCTGCAGGGTTTCACGGTGTGTGCGTGTGTGTGTGTGTGTGTGTGTGTGTGTGTGTGTGTGTGTGTGTGTGTGCGCGCGGGCGCGCGAGTGTGCGTGCTTCTACTGGAAGGCAGGGCAGAGAAACTGCTGGGTGGCCCCTGCCTTTCATTCTCCCTGGAAGGCCACAGAGGAGGCTTACCTCTGACCAGAATGAAGGTGCCACTGCCTTGCACCAAGACTGGCCCTCGGACTAAGCAATAGTAAGTGCCCGTGGCCAACGCATTTGGCAGGCTGAGTTTAACCACACAATCCAGGGTGTGGTTCTCTGTGCCAGGACTGTGTTGGCAGTAAATTGGCTTCTCCAAGCTTCTCTTGCCATGGAGATCTTCATGAAAGAAGTTAACAGTGAAGTCCTTGAATTCTGGCATGTCCTGATGGTTGATTCTGCAGCTAAAGGAGACAGCCGAGTTGGCCAGAGAGACCATGATAGGGAGGCCGATGTGGGTCACTGATATCCCTCCTGTGGGGGGAACAACAGGGTAAAGTGACAGCTCACTGGAAGTCTCCTCACCCCACGTGCGTCTCCTGTGTGTTGACTGCACAGGGTGATTACCACAGAGACTCCATTTCTCCAACACATGGAGGCCAGGCAGGAGCTTTGATGGAGGAAGACTGGGAGTCAGAAAGGGTAGCCCCTAGGTCAGATTCCTCAGCAGGTTGTGTGCGGGTATGGGCAGAGACACACCCAGGGCTGAGGGGACCTCAGAGACTGTGCTTTTAACCCCTGTCCTTCCCACAGTACAAAAGGCACCCCCATTCGTTACCCACACAGACCTAAGGGTCCAAAGGAAGCGGGAGTTCAGGAAACCAGAGCACTTGCCGGCAGGGGACAGCGGGAGCAGCCAGAGACGGGCCATTCCGGGAATCAGGGCTAGGAGAACTCTGCCAAATCTCCATGTGGTATAACAAGCCATTCCACAGGGAGCCGTCTCCAAAGACACGGACCTCCTCACGCGTGACCACTTGTGTCCAATGCCCATCACAAGGCCGGTTTTACTGGAGACATCCTTCCTACCCCACACTCATCAGAAAGCAGTCTACATACCCTGGAAGCAGCAGCCCAGCCTGGCTGGGCCTCCTACAAGCTTCTGAGGTGCTGTTCAGATGTGGAGCAGGGTCAGCAGCCACCGCCCCCAACTTTGGCAACACAGAGCTCTCAGCTTCAATATTCCATGCCCCCCGGGCCCTGCCTCTCCAGCAGCTGAGCCACAGACGGTTTTTAAATTGAGGTCGGCAGCAAGCAGCCAAGAACACGCAGGCCGGCTTGTTAATCGGGAGAAGATCGTGCGTTTTCAGACGCTTAGAAACTCTCAAGATTTATTTTGCTGAGGAAAGTGAGCTGTGGGCCTCCTGCCTGTGGATTGGCAGGAAGCCAGGAGGGTGTCTTCTGGCCTCTTCAGCTTTCCTCTGGGGGAAGGGCCGTCAGAGAAGTCTGGGCCTTCTGGAAGATTCCAAGGCAGGGATCTTGATAACCCCCAGTGAATCCTTACAGCTTTGAACAGGCTGGTATTTTGAATTTGCTGTTGAGCCTCTAAGCGACCCTATAGAACAGGGGACATTGATAGCACCGTGTTCACTGTCAGAGTGGGACAACGGTCACTTTGGGGGTATTGGACTGAGCTAGTGCCCAGGCCTCTTCCCTGGCAAGGAGTCTCCGTCCTGGGCTTTCCTCAGACTGGCATTACCCTCTTGTTCTCTGGCCTCTGTTGCAGAGCAGCTGTGGCTTGTGCATACTGCATACACAATAGGATACCATACCAGCAGAGCAACATTGTAGCTTTGTCATTAAAGAAGCCTTGATTCAGTTAGGCAGTGGTGGCGCACGCCTTTAGTCCCAGCACTCAGGAGGCAGATGCAGGCGGATCTCTGGGAGTTCAAGGACGGCCTGGTGTACAGAGTGAGTTCCAGGACAGACTCCAAGTTACAGAGAAACCCTGTCTCAAAAAACCAAAAAAGAAGAAGCCTTGACTCAGGGTAGAGGTGGTCTGAGATACATGTGGCTGGGTAGAGGAGGCAAGGGGCAGGGGTTGTAGCGTGACCTCCGGAGGTTCCAGATGGGCTGGAGAGCGCATGAAGCCAGAGCGCATGGAATGAGCCACAAGTGACTGAGACTCTGCCCACTCCGCCGGCAGCCCGCTCACCTGTTGCCACACAGCCCCTTCTGCCTCATGCCTCTGCCTGTCCTTCCATCTGCGGCTGCCCTGCCGGCAGCCCCCTGCACCTACAGACACCTTCTCTGCGGCCTGTTTGTGCCCCCTCCACCCGTGCCACCACCTGGAGAGCTCTGTCCGAGCCCCTTTACCCTTCCTATGACCAACTCCTGAGGTCCTAGTCTGGGTTCCTCAGGGCCCCCGGTACCTGATCCTCCTCTTGGGCTCTCAATACGTCCCTGTCAGGCCGCCAGGATAAGCAGAGCCTGGCTGGCTTCCCCAGGGCTCCAAAAGTAAAGTACAGAGGTTGGAATCCCGCCGAAGACCTAGAAAGGGGTCACTCCGCCTGCCCTGGGACCTTTTGCTTCTCCAGTGTTACGAGGTCACTCTTAGACTAGGAGAGTAGACGTGCCGCCAGCATGACGAAGCCACTTTCCCATTTTTCCTGACAGGAAGATATCCATCCAATTGTCTTAACCTAACCCTGCTTCAAAGCATCGTTCTAGAAAATGATGGAATCTGCTAGAGCAATTAAGCTGATCTTTACAGTTCTGGAGATAGCTATAAAAATAGATGTCTATCGTTCAACAGCCTATGGGATTTGCTGTTTTAAGGTTAAAAGGTTAGGATCATGAAAATTCAGGGCCTGGATCTGGCCAGCCATAGTACACAGAGATTTTGGAATGAAAACCTTGGGCCTTAATGAAAGTGTCGTGTCTAATGGGAGTGGGGGTGGGGGGTAAGACACAGCTCCTTCCATGTCATTTAAGCAATGACAATTAGTCTGGAGACAGCCAAGAGCCAGGAGGAATCTCAGTCTGTACACTACAGCCAGGGTTTCTGACCTGGGGATAGAGTCTGTCACTGTCCCTCCATTGTGGGGTATCAGTACCCCACAGCCTGGACCGTGTAGCTACTTGTGGATATCTAGTCCCTTGCCCTACTCATGCCAGTGAGAAGCAATCCCCATTTAAGGTTCAGAGCTGCAGATGAGCTCACAGAAATTCTAAGTCCATGAAACCTTCTCCTCTAATACACACACACACACACACACACACACACACACACACACACACAAAGGGTACCAGGCAGCTTGCAGGTCCTGCCTGGCCTGTCATCAACCTCTCTGTGATGATAAAGGCTTACTAAGCAGACATGCCTGGGGTGGGAGGAAGGGAGGGTGGGAGGAAGGGAGTACTCAGTCTCTCTAGGTATTTCAGGAGGTGCCTGGGAGTTGAAGACTTCCTTGAACTTGGAGTGGGTATCCAGAAATAGAAGGAAAAAAACAGGAATAGAAAATCTACCCTAGTCAGGTATGACATAGGTTAAATGCCAGTCTAATACTGTGAGACAATTATAGTAACCCCACTCCACAGATGAAAAAAAAAAAAACCATAAGAGAGGCCAGAAAGATGGCTCAGTATGGAGCTGGAGCAGCAGTTAAGAGAGCTGCAGTTAAGAGAGCTGCTCTCCCAGAGGACCCAGGTTCAATTCCCAGCACCCACATGGCGGCTTATAACACGGCAGTTACAACAGTCTATAACTCTAGTTATGGGGATCCAACGCCACCTCTAGTCTCTGTATGCAAGTGGTACATAGACATATTCAGACAAACACTCATAAACATACGATAAAAAAATAAAATCTCTCCAGGCATGGTGGTGTACGTCTTTAATCCCAGCACTCAGGAGGCAGAGGCAGGTGGCTCTCTGTGAGTTCAAGGTCAGCCTGGTCTACACAACAAGTTCTAGGACAGCCAGGGCTATACAGAGAAACCCTGTTTATTTTCTCAAAAAACAAATAAATAAAATATCAAAAAGAAAAAAGCGGTTGTTACCAAGCCTGATGTCCTGAGTTCGGTCCCTGGGACCCACATGGTAGGAAAAGAGAACAGATTCCCCCAACTTTTCCTCCGACAGGGAATACACACACTAAATAAATCCATGTTAAAAGAAAATAAAGGGGGCTCTTAGAGGCCCAAAGCTCCAGGATTCATGAGCAGTGCAGCTGTGCCTGGAACGAGGCTTCACCTCACTCTGCTGAGCGGGGAAGAGGCCAGTGCCAAAGACACAGGATGGAGAGGAGGTGGTATTCATGGAGGAGCCAGGCACGGTAGCCATCAGCTGCCAAGGCCAGTCTGTCAGACCCTGGCAGCCATTCGCACAGTCCAGTCACAGACAAATGGTCACACGCCCTTTGGCTCGTGTCTCATGGGTCTTTGAACTTTGGCAGTGTGTCACTCACAGGACAAGTGGCCAGGACAGGGAGCTGTCCGGGCATTCCCTGCAGCTCTATTCATACGGCTGTCTTTGGAGATAAGCACCCCCGGAGCAGGGCAGAGTGGACCCGGGATTCCAGGGGGCTGAGCAGGCAGAGGTCCATGGGGAGTGCTTTTGTTTGTCTGTTTGCTTGCTTGCTTTTCGTTTGTTCTGTATTTTGTTTTTTTGAGGCAGGGTTTCACTGTGTAACCGAGGCTGGCCTTGAACTCACAGAGATCTGCCTGCGTCTGCCTCCTGGGTGCTGGGATTAAAGGCTCGTACCACATCACCCAGCTTGAGTAGGACCTCCTGTCATTGCAATTCCCGGGACACAGTACCCCTGGCCCTCTCTCTACTTGCACCCAGGGTGACCATGTGGAAGGGCAGGAGTGGGAGGGTCTGAGTGGGAGAGAGAGGAGGAGATCGGGCCCACCCTCCACAGACTCCCAGCTGCATGGGGGGCAACCTCAGCGGTTAGCAGGGTCAGCATGGCTGGTACAGAGTTGGCGATGTGAAGAAGTAGGAATCATCGATGATCTTAAATAACCAAAGACTGTGACTTCCTCGGAGTGACACCAGTTAGAGTGGCCCTTCTGGTCTTTGATGCGGGCTAAACGGAGGCAAGCCTAGCACAGGGAGTCAGTCCCGAGAACCCATGCGTGTCTTCTACAAAGGAAGGGACTCGATACCTCCACTTTGGAGAGGTCGGGAGGGCTGTGGGTACCGCCTGGCAGGGTTCCAGGAGGGCAGAGCGGGGCAGTGGGTGAGAAGGCTGGAGGAGGACCATGAATTTCCTGTCTTAAAGCGGCTGGGAGCCCCTGCTATTGACCCAGGCGGAAAGCGAGAGGTCAGGTAGGGGTGTCTCGGGTGGGGACCTGGGAGCCTGTGTGGCCAAGAGGAGGGAAGTGGGGAGAACTGAGGGTCAGGCGTGTGTGCGCAAGTGTGTGAGGGTGACGTCAAGACAGGTAATTTACAGAGGACAGGACCAGAGGGCACATTTCATGTCTCAGCTGGGTTCAGACAGGGTCACCCTAAAACATGCAGCTTTTGAT